TCTGCTGGACCTCTGAAGCACAGTATGGCCTACAACTGTGTAGACCAAGAATGTACCCAGCAAACATCTTGCCTTCACGGTGTTATCCAGCATGCTGTCAACACATCTGCTTCCTGAGATGTTCAGTCACTTGTAGCACAGGGAAGGGCAATAGTCTGCATGTCCCAAAGGGAATTTGTTCCTTTTTTGGAGCAGATCAAAGATGAGGCCGCCTTGCTTTGCTGCTACCCTTATGCCTGCTGTAAGCTGTGATGCTTTGTTTCACACAATCATTTTTAGGCTTGCCACATCTGTACCCTGCAGTAGTAGGAATTTTTTGTGGGGTTCTGATACATAGATGCACTTAGTAGGCAGTTGGGCTTGTTGGTCTTCGAAGGTCCAAATGAATTATCCTGCTCTGTCCTATTCTATTATACTAATCTACTTGCTCAAGCAAGCAGATACAGAAAGGTCTGAACAATGCAGCACTGGGCTTGGGGGAGAGGTCTTGCTGTCCTTTGGATGGCAAGAAACCCTTTGTGGAAATTATCACTGAGCAGCTATGTTACAGACAAATTAATGTTCTGACCTTAAAAACATTTCTGCTAAAGCAGAATTTAGTTTGTTCCATCTTTTGACAGCCAAAAATCTTTCCCTGGGATGCATGAAGCATATTTTACATTTGAAATAGAGGCTTATGTAATACCAAGTCCTACTTAAGTTAGAACTATATCTAAGAAAAATCATTAGCCAAGCATTACAGGAACACACTGACTAATTATTCAAGATCTCCTTGACTGCTTCCTGGATGATAAACTCTTTGTTTTTAATAAAATGGACCTCTTATTTCTCAGAAACATTTTATTTATTTGCGTTTTATTTAAATCTATTGTCTGTTTTCTTCAGCAAAATTAGTACTGTCAAAAATATTCTTCATTGTTTTAAGACAATTATGGTACACTAGTCTTAGGACACTATGACCTTTTCTTGGGATCAGCAGTGTTCCCTATTTGGTGCAAAGTCACATCCACCAGTTTCATTCCAGACGCTCCACTTTGCAAGGATACCCTGTGAGGGTGAAATGATTGAGAACATGCAGAGGGACTGGCATTTTGCAGCTTTTGTGAGCTAACTGCATGACGTAAACTAACGGCAGCTCTGAGAGCTGAAATTGGAGGATGAGCTGCACTGATTTTAAAGTAACCATATATAATTGATTGCAAGAGTGAATGAAAGATCATTTTACAACAGCAAACAGGAGGCTGATCAAAGCAGGAAGGGGAAAAAAATGAAGTATTTGAAAAGAGAGGAGTTTAAAAATACATACTTTGCCAGAGAAGTAGAACACCCTCAAAGACACCATTTAAAATTACTAATATTAGTTTTGAAGTTCCTTATTGAGGGCATGCACAGATCCCAGGCAGGATCAGTACTTTTGTGTGTCAGGTACAGCACAAACCGAAATGAAAACTGAACCTAAACCAATTTAAAAAAAATAAATAAATAAAAGAGAGCATTGAAAAATATCCTTTATCCTCTAGATTTTTTTTTCATTAGGAGCAGGTGTTTTTGAATAAGTGGCTTTTGCCCTAAGAAAAGGAAAGCAATGAATGAATCGGGCTGAATGACTAAGCAAAGTGACAGAAGATTTCAGTCTCTGCATCATGCACTATCTAGTTCAATCTTTAAACCCAAAGTAGCCCATAATGACCATCTGACGACCTGTCATTCAGCCCAGGAACAAAAGGTCCCCACTGTAATTGCAGTGAACTGCTCTCCCCTTTAGCAGCTTTGCAGTCACCAACAGTCAGGAGAAAGAACTCTCCCCGTGTTCAGAAGAGAATTTCCAGCTAACACCTGAAGTACAGGTGTAGGTAGAATTTTATTTGGTGCATTGAACTTGCGTTCTATTGAATAAAGGCTGAAAATAAAAAGTTAAGCATCCAGAGATGTTTTTTTTTGACATTAATCAAGGTACTAATGCATGGGGCCACTTCTTGTGAGTATTCCATTTTTTGTAATGCACAAATAAGATTAATGAAGGGAATGTTAAATTAATTTGAAATCTGCTTGCTTTTTCTATGCTTCATTCTATATGAGAGAAAGTTCTCATATACACCCACCAGAAAACACTGAAAAAGGCTGTGTCCCTAAGAACGTTATACAAGCAAGATAACAGCACTGCTGCCAATGGGATCGTAAATTTTCAGGTGAGTTGACATCAGCTACTCCCAGGCCTTACATGCATTTTCTGCCAAGAAATATTTGCATGACAGAGCTTTCTGGCAGGATTATTTGCAGGAATTTGTTCTTTTAATCCGAGGGAGCTGTGTGCCATACACCCTGCCAGTCAGCAAAGAACAGAGAATGTGACTGAACTAACAAATCATATTTAACTAACATAGATATTCTGAAGATCACTCAACACATACAAGCATGTGCACGTTTTATGATGAGGAAAGGATATCTTTTGCACATTAAATTATCAGTTTTATAGGGCTCAGTTATAGCTTCCTTGATGATTCAAAGTTCATTATATTGTGACTAAGCTCATAAAACATACATTTCCTCTTTTGCTTTAATTTTGATTGCAATAGTTTCAAGATCTGCACATTTGTTCTTGTCTCCTAGAGTCAATTGTTCTGTTGGCCAATGTCACTACCTCTTTCTTATTTCATGCCCAATAATTACATGCATAAATAAAAATTGTGCAATTGAATAAGAAATAAAAAAAGAGAATTCAAAAATCAAGAAAAGAATGCCAAAAGCAACATACATCTTTCTTTAAAGATTACAACTTCTATATCAGGTAGTATTTATGCTGAAAGCCAAGAGTCTAACAAAAAATATTGTCACTGGACCCCCGTGACCACACTAGCCTTCCATCATCACTCCAGAAACCAGTACGTGTTTCCTTGCCATTGACCATGCAAGACATTTTACCTGGGTAATTTATATATGTCAGAATAATCATCACTCTGAAATACCAAACTATTTATAATGTACAGCATTTCATAAGGTACTGCCATTGTCCAACTAGTGTACTAGGAAAATTATTTATGTAGTTAGAGCTGATAATTTGCTGCTGAATAGAAACTAATAACATATGATTTCAGTTTTATTTTTTCTTCTCTCCTAATAGTTCTATTTATTACTGTTGTTGACTGACCATAATCTTTCTAACAGTCTACTTGAATACGGTTTTAACGGTTGTAATTCAAATCAGACACAGAAAAATTCAGTATTCTTAAACAGAAATAAACAATCAGATTCAAATAATTTCAGATGAAATAATGACATTGTAAAAGTTGTATAAGATAGGATTCCTGCCCATAAAACCTATTGTTAAAAGTCTGCAGCCCTCAAGGCTCCAGGTTCTATTAACTCCTACTAACTTCAGTGAAGCTCATGATAGAAAACGCCTCCTTGAACTAAGCCGCTGAGCACGTTCTCTGAAGGTTATGGATCTTTTTTGTCTAAAGCACAGGATATGATTGACAAAACTGATCTCATATGACTGTACTGAAAGCTGAATTCCTCAGAGAAGCATCATCCAAATGATGCTCACTAATGAGCTCCATTTTAGGAAACCTCTGTGGTCTACATAAAAAGGGATCTTTTTCTCAATCAAAAGGCAGCATATGTTGCTTATGCATTATTTAGTGCTAATGCACAGGCCATATCTATTGACATATAGGTGTAGAACGTGTAGCAGCTCAAAATTAATGCGATTAGCATAACCTATTGTGCGTGAACAATATGCTTGTTTCACAAACTGTGGTGCTGTCTTTTTTAATTGATATTTTATCATGCTGCAGTCATATATTGAGCAGCAACAACATATATGCAGTAGTAGTTTCTGTACCTCAAAGACAAAACACAGAAGCTAAAAAAAATAGCACTAACAAGTGAATAGAAGAACAGAAATAAACAAAGAAAATGGTTATGAGCCACCGTAAACTCCTAATTAACGCATGTTGACAAAGATTATTGAGTCTGAATAGTATAGGTATGTGAAACTCATGGAAATAGAGCTACATAGCAAATCAAAATAATCTAAACTTTCAACTTGTACAGAAATTAAGGAATGCCCCAGGTCTGCAAGGTAATGGAAGCATACCATAGCGTTTGCAGGCAGAGCAGTCTGCCTCATAAATGGACTTTGTCCCATGGTACCCCAACTTCTGCTACAGAGTGCATCATCCCCTTTCCTGGGCAGCAATAGTGGAAGATTATCAAAACCCTTCAATATAAAATTTACAAAACTGACCTCATGGGCAGTCACAGTTCGCTATACTTAGGATAGAAATTAAGAGTTTAATTTTCACTTTGAAAAACTGAACATGGCCAGCACAAATGCACTACTCTATTCTAAAAAAAGATACTTCTGAAATAGTTCTGGTAGTTAACATAACAAGGAATGAATTCATGATGTCAGTAAGAATTTGATAGTACCCAAGAGACTCAGTTTTCTTTTAAAAAGTTTCGTTTTGCTAACCAGTTAACACAGTTTGCAAAATGTCCTTCAGATTTAGAGATTTGTTTTCACTCTGGCAGAATTACTTTGGTCTGTACTCTGCATTGTGTCACATCTTTAGCTCAAAACCACTGTTAACGTCAAATACAGAGATCCATAGGGATCTCTTTACAGCATTGCCATCAGCTCATGGCTAAAATTAAGTGTATAGAAAGGTTGCAGTATACAAAAACAATAATTCAATTTTCTTTCTGCATTAACATTTTGCATACCATTAAATATTTGTTTATGGTTGTTTTTTTTTATGGTTTAAACCTATGTTTTCATTCCCTATTTTCAGCTGTCCCAACTCTTGCTATTCCCAGTGCAATCTGTAACTATCAAAAACATAGAAAACATACACAAAATATCAACCTATAGCTCTGATGATCAACAGACTGATCTTCATGCACGTGTGATCTAATGCTACTGATACCAGCTTCACAACACAATGACACACCATGCAAGAAATGGAACTAAAAAAGTGCCGCATTAAATCTATTACCTGGCTGGTGGGTTTTTGCTTTTCCACCAGAGGCTGTTGGATTACTTGATCCAGCTGATGAGGCTTCCATGCTTAGTGACCTTCTGACTTGTGGTAATGAAGGGTGCCCAACCACAGGTGGACGCTGTGACACTGGGTAGCTTGCTGCAGTCCTCCGCTGACAGATTTGCACACGCTTTTCAGCCCCATGAATAGATAAACTTATACCTGTCAGGAATAAGAATTAGTAGTGTTAGACACAAGAGAACAACACAGAACAACTAAAGTATAAAGATACAAAAACTGCCACATTTAAGAATGAAGTTATAAAAGCTTTCATAAAGAAAAAAAAACAAAAAAAGGAAAGAAAATTATAAAAACATGAATTTTCTATGAAAATGAAAAATGTGAACATCTTTACTGCTGCTGTGCTGCAGATAACAGAATAACTAATAGATATTTAAATTAATACAAAGTCATGGTTTACTGCTGTACTGGCCTACAGGAGGAATTATCTTCCACTCCTTCAAGAATCACACAGGTCACACAGGACTATAAAAAAGAGATAAGTACCACACAGTTTATTAAGCGACAGCTTTCTGATTGATAGACTAAAACTTGGCAGTAATAGGTTCTTTTTTTCTGAATATCTGCATGTACCAGAATGTCTCATCATATGGAAGACACTAAACTACACAAGTAGTAATCAGTTTTTATTAAAATGATCTGTTTTAAGGAGAACAATAATGATACAAACAAAAATAACATGACCTTATGCTTGAAAACTAATTCTATTTTCACCAGTTCTGAAACATCTGCAACGCTGGAAATTCTTTCACACCAAACATTCTCAAATTTGTCACATTTGTCACAGATAATTTTTAAATAGAAATTGTTTTCTGTGATGAAAGACAGGCCTTACTTTTCCACAGAGAATAACAAAGTTGACATTTTCTATCTGCTGTATGCTCTCAGAAAGAAATGCTGCTTTATGGCAGAAAAACAACTGTTTCTGACTTTCTTATGTTCACATTAATGCAATTGCAGCAACTTGAATTACTGACAGCATCCTCTGGTCAAAATCTTTAGCCAATCATCTCTTTCAGGCAACAAAGCTGAACAATAATTCTACAATGCCATTTTATGCTTAATTTAATTGTGATTCTTATTCCTTTCATCAGCCACTCTTTGTTTAAAAAAGAAAAATGAAAATCTTAAAAGCTATAACTAGGCAAACTGAGAAGCAGAGAGAAACAGCACACCCTAAGAATCAGAAACATGTAAGCATGCGAATGATGAACTGTAAAACTGGTCACTCAGGTAGCACTGACTACTCTACACATGTTAGCAAAAGGGGTCCTCCACTGTCATTCCCAAGACTGCCTTAGTGACACCAGTCTTCCAGTTCCACTGAAAGTCCATGTGACATAAGCCTCCAGATCACAGAACAAGTTTTGAAATTCCAACATCTTAATACACTTCAATACATAACACACTACTATGGGGAAGAGAGCTGTTACTTTTGTAGGTAAATGGTGAAAACAGTGGGGTTGCACACATGAAAAAAGGCTGTGCAAATTGCTCTCCTTTGAGATGGCTTTGTGCATTCAGAACTGAAGCTGTGTGCTCGCTACCTGATTTTGCTGCACTTCATCAGAGCTGGTCTCCTGCAGGAAGTTTAAATGGAAGTGCTCCTATGAGCAGCTGCTCGCATTCCTCCTGGTTACAGAGCTAATGTAACTGCTGCCTATTTCTAAGGATTGTTGGAAGCACATCTTCATTAACACAGCCAGCAAACCCCAGTCATTTTATTCAATTGCTTCATCTTGTGAAAGGCAGTGTAATAATCCACACGAGCAGAATAACAAGTATGCCAGGACAACACATTTGTTTGAATAAAGAATTTAGTTGTAAGAAGATTCAAACAGTGAAATATATTAGCCCCACCTGGAGCTTTCTTGTGCAGTCACTAGAAGTTCATAGTAACATAACTGATCAAATTCTTGTTCAGTTATCCCTAAGGTATTGCAAAGGTATTCTTTTAACATCATCATTGATTGCTTTATCATAAGAAGCAACCAACTCTCTGAAGTTTACAAGGGAGTTGAGGTACAGCTCAGTGAAACATAAACTGGCATGGACACACCCTTACTGATTGGATCTCAGTAAGGGTATATCTTAATTTGGTCATAGAACAAGGCCTCTTTTTTAGAAACTGGTTCCAAATATAAACTGCGATGAAGGTGATGAAGGAGCTGGAGCACCTCAACTATGAAGAACAGTTGAGGGAGTCGGGCTTGTTTAGCTTGGAGAGAAGAAAGCCCTGGGGAAACCACATTGTGCCATTCCAGTACTTGAAGGAAGCTTAAAAGTAGGAGAGAGACTGATGTTTTACACAATCTGATAGTGATAGAACAGGGGGGGATGGATTTAAACAAAAAGAGAAGAGATTTGGGTTAGGTGTTTAGGCACAATTTTTTCACTCAGAGGGTGATGAGGCATTGGCATAAGAGAAGCTGTGAGTGCCCCACTCCTGTAGGCATCCAAGGCCAGGTTGGATGAGGCCTGGGAAATCAGATCTGGTGGTTGGTAACCGAAACCATGGCAGGGGTTTGGAATTAGACGATATTTATGGTCCTCCAACCTAAGCCATTCTATGATTCTGTGATTATCTGAGGATAAAGTAAATATCTTCATTATCTGAGAACACCATATATAATGTGTTGTGTGGTTCTGACTCAGTTTCCTAAACTTGTGCAGCCACCAAAATAATGGATACTGCAGACAGACCATTCTTCCTAAAGACTATAAGATCTGCAGACTGATCACATCCAAAATGATGTTCAACCTACAATTTAAACTCTGATTGCATGCAACCCTCTTTCTCTTGCACTTAAGAGCGGAGCTATAAAGCAATAACACCAAACTATATGAAAAAGAACATGCCAACATTATTGGAAATTAAACAGATTATTCATTAAACATATTTAAAATGTGAAAGTGTTCAAAAAACAGTACAGTTTGTTCCAATGATGTGTCACCAGTATATTCAATATTATTTGTGAGATCAACACACTCTCCACATACTTTATTATTATTATTATTATTATTATTATTATTATTATTATTATTTGCCTAGGAGAGTGAATTTCCCTTGTGTTTTCAAGAAAGACAAGTACAAGACAAAGTTGCAAGCATCTTTGTTTAATTAGCATTTCAGATTTTTCCAGAGGAAGCCCAGATCTTGCTTTTCTCTGTTCATTTATTTTGTAAAACTAGAAGTAAATGTCTGCAAAAATCTAAGATTGCTATCACAGAAAGCTGAGGTATTACCTTGTTTTCATGTGGGCGAAAATCCTTTTAAAAGAAATACTGGCACTTAAAAATACACTCCCAGTTAGTATGCACAAAAGTAGAGAAAAAGAAGGGGGGGAATCAGAGGCAGAGAAGCTATTAGAAATAGTGCTTATAGCTTATGGGGGATTATTGGCATTAAGCAGTCTCTTGTGCAAACTCTCCCTATTCTTGCAAAAAACCCACACTATTGCTGAATCACAGTTTTTGTGGGACAGAGATGTGAGAAAATGGTGCAGAGATCCCTGAAGAATAGATGTTCAAATTGACATCTATTACTTTTTGCAGCGTGACAATACCCACATAAGACACCTAGAAAGACAGACAAATTCTCCAGCAATACTCTGCAGACTAGGTCCTCAGTTTACTCTGTTTGGTGGAGCCATTCCCTGGCTTTCAGTTTTGGTACCACATAGATGCTGACCACCAAAATCCCACCACTGTTATGTGCCTGTAGCATGGCCATTTGTAAGTGAGCTTGGCAGAACTGGCAACACACTTGACTGCTCTGATAGACAGTAGAGATGCTGCAAAAAACAGTTGTTTATTTTATTGCTTCTCACTTATTATAATGGATCATTTCAACCTCGAGCTACCAGGCACATGGAAATGGAAGTTTTACATGCTTTCCAGTACCCAGAGCCAAGTGTCCACTTTGGAGGACTAGCTTCTGGATAGGGCTCAAGCAATCGTGCTCTGCAGTCTGAGAACCACTAGCAGAAGCAGAAGCTGAGTGTTCTGAAGCTGGATGAGGTTTGAGCCTTGAAGTATTGCATGCATCACTCAGTCCTTTTCCTGCATACAGCAGAATTCCTTCTCTGTATTTTCAATATTAACATGTCTTTCCTTACCTTTCTCTGTCTTTTTTTTTTAATTTTCTCTCAAACAAGCTTTTTGTCTCCATGAGGAATTACTCTTCTTGCTGCATTTCTGTTCTCCTCTGAGGCCTCTGTTTGAGGTTCATGTAAGATAAGCATCTTCACTCCCTTCCTACAAAACAACCTCAGCTGTGCAGCTTGCCAGCAGGGAAGAGCAGCCTTGATCCTGCTCCTGGCTAATTTATTGCTTCCAGTTTTGTCTTTATATGAGGTATTATTCTTTAAAGCAGCATTTCTTTTATATTGAGCATATTTTGTATCTGATAATGAGAGATAACTAGAGAATTTATCATACTCCAGATAAAACCTGCATATCAGAACGTTAAAGTGGAGTACTAAAGTACTTCAAAGCCAGGAAGCAAAATCTAACTTAAGAAAAAGGAGGGAAAAATTACTAGAAGTAGAAAACACCACTGCATGGCTTAGAACTACCCTGCATGCAAAGCTTTATATGATAGTGCTGTTTGTTTTGTCAGCTTTTCAGATGCCATATCAATCACCCTGTGCTGCATAGCAGTCCAAGTACGTGATGGGGCTCTGCTGCCTCAGCCCTGGCACCACATACCTGAGCATGAAGCAAGGCCCACCACTAGAAGGCCTCATCCAGCCAGCCTGCACCATTGGACTGAGCACAGTGCAAAGTTCTGGTGCTGGAAGAGATGGTTTTAGTGGCAGTACTGGGGCCAGTAAGGCACTGTGTCCAAACTATACTGCATTGAAGCTGAGGCTGCTTGGTAGGCCAGTTTGGCTCAGCCACAGTTCAGCTATAGGCACATACTCATAGGCTCCTTCCTGATGTGTCTTCCTCTAGATAGAGATAATATGAACATGAATAAACAATAACAACACAGTGCAGACGCAGGAAGCTGTATAAATGATCTATTATCTAACAGTGCTAAATTAACCTCAAGTGCCCTGACCTGCTTTGTAGATCTCTGGGAGAAGAAACTGCTGCTGGCAGGTGCAATAAGGCTTTTTATTTTGGTATTATC